CTAAATTATTTTCTTAAAATACGTATACATGTAATACTAAATAATATAAATTTTTAATTTTAATAATGATTTTCTTTAATTAAATATCAATTGAAAAGTTTTATTATTCCAACCTGGTCTATTCCAAAATCAGGTTTTGAATTGTTCCCCAAAAACTTTTTCAACATGAGTCCACCTTTTTTTCTCGTCTCTATTGACGTACTTTTCAAATAACTAAAAAATTAAAATTATTAAAATATTATTGTAAATACAATTAAGATAATAAATATTATTGTTCTTTTGTTTACTAATATTTTACTTACTTTACAATCTCTGACTATCCCTTTAAATTTTTCTTTTACCTGTAATCCATTAAACATAGTTGTAAACCTTTCTTGTATCAATGCCGCAATCTCGTTCCAAAAAGTCAACTTCGATCTTCTAAAACTTCTCCAATATTTATCATTCCTTTCCTTCCAAAAGTTGATCAAAAGTTGCATTTTTTCATTGGACCATTCGATAGTTATAGGCATTTTTGAAATTGTAAATTTGTTATTTGAGAAAAATTTAAAAATTTTCAATGTAAAAAATTGAATAATTACAGAAATAAAAATGTGATAAAACTTTTCTTATATAAAATTGTATTGAAATATGTCAACTTTCAATGTATTTAATGAGTTAGCAAAGTATCTAATTTTTATGCTCAAGTCAAATAAATGATCTAATTTTTTAGCAATTTCAAAATTTACGTAATTTTCGCAATTGAAATTTTCAGCAATTTCAAATTTGAATTATAGAAATTAAATAAATTGAATCAACAAATTAATCACCACTGATTCAACACTAATTAACTCTAGGTTCAACACTAATTAATCTGAGGTTTAATAGGGTTCCTGAATATACTGATTAGAACTTTATTATACGGATTTGACAATTAAGCGTTGAAGTTTAACAGTTCTTATTGTATGGATATTAAAAGTTAGATAAAATTTGAAGTACAGAATTTAACTAATGATGATTTACCTCAATGTATAGATTTACAAAAAATTATCTTCGCGTACAAATTTACAATAATTTTTACTTTCACATACAGATTTACTCTGATTTAAGGAGTTCAACGTAAAAAAATTTATATCAAGAATATTCGTTGTACAAAAATCAATTTATATATATATATCTTTATTTTTTTTTAAATGCCAATATCTGTATCTTCGATAGAGAAACTTTTTTATTATAAAAATGAGTTTTGGTAAATAAAGTAAAAATTCTAATATATCTAAAGTTGCTTTGCAATAAAAAAAACTAGAGTATTTTGGAATAACAAGTAATTTTGTTCAAGGAAAAGGAAAAGGAAAAAGCATTAATTTTTATACCGGTGAAAATATTGCTCATATATATAAAATTTGTTTCAATGTGCTATTTTTTTTTTTTTTGTTAAATGGTTTATATAAAATTTTATTTACATAATAGTAATAAATGAAAATTTATTGATCAAAAAAACTTGAAATGAAAATATAGAGCAAAATTTAGCAGAAATTCTCTAAGAGTTTAAGGGTCTATTAGGACAAGCTTTATTAAAAGAGATTCTAAAAGATAAATCTTACAATTTATTTGATGATAATAAGCATGTTTACTATCAAAGTTGTCAAAAATCAATAAGTTTACACTGTTTTAATGGTGAAACTAGATTAAAGGAACATATTATTACTCTAACACATATTGAAAATTACCAAAAAGTAGTTCAACCAAAAAGGATGTATTTCACATTTTTAACATCATTTTTTAATAAACAAAAAGATAATACAGCACAGTTACTGATATCATTGAATGAGTTGAACTAGTTGAAGATGATCAATCAAGGACGTTCTATTAATGAATCAAAATGAAATCTCCTTAAAGATGGCGTCTAAAAATTCTGAATAAAGTAATACAGTATACTAGTTTGTTTTAATTTAACAGTTATAATTTTTTTATGAATTTAATTACACATTTTGTTTTATTTACATAACAGTTTGTAATGGATTTTTTGGGTCAAAATATGCTATTTTTGCAAAGTATGTTACCTCAATTCTTGATGAAAAGTTTAAAGTTCAATACACAATTCTTTGAAATGATAATTTATATGATAGGTTAAATCATGTAGAAAGTTATTTCAAAAGTACAAAATGTCTTGAGTATTGATCTAAAAAATGGTGTTACGAATGTGACCTTTTAGCAAAGAATAAAGTATTTAACAAGAGAAATCGAGAATATCAAGAGTTACTTGCTCAAATCAATTATGCTCTTATATTGAATGAAAGTGAAGAGTTGATCAATTTAATTCATTGTAAATATAGTCAAGTGCTTAATTACAATAAATTGATTAATTCTTCTTTTAATGAACTCAATGTACATATAAAAAACAGGAAAATCGTCTAAAAAAGTATCACTCTGATAATCTTAATAATTTACTCAAATACTATAAAATAGAAGTTATTGATTTTAAATATCAACAACTAGTTAAAAATTATTCAGTATTAGAAGTTCTTTTGGACGAAGTAGAAGAACATGGAATTGAAAGTTAGATGGTAAATTGTACTCAATATATGGTGAATAAGATTATGGATAAAAAGTGACCTATATTTATTGGAATGGCTCAATCAATTACAAAAGTTCTAGATAAAATAGAATGTAATGTTATTATAATGTGTGGAATTCAATATAATGAAACATTTGTTGATTTTCTTATAATACTTATCTCAATCAGTATACTTGCTATAAGATGGATTACATTAAATCTTTCAGGACTAATAGTAAGATTTCTCTGGTAAGTGTGAAACTAAAGTGATAATTCTTCTGATCTCATAGAAATTAATACTTCAAATTTTTCTGAATTAATTAGCAGATGGCAATGTGTATTTATTACAATCTGTTACTATGTCGAATACACGACTCTCCTTTAGGCTATAATATGACTGACTAATGGAAACTGGATGTCTCTACTAGTGCTATATTCACAAACTCTATTAAGATTTCTACTCTCGCTTATATGGATGATACTTTGTAGATTGCATATAACTATTTAGGGCTAACTATATGTGCAAAAAATCAAACTAAAATTGCTGAAATGATTGAAGTAGACCGTCATCATTCTCTATTTGTCAGATGTATACAGATACAACAAACTTCTATTCCTTAAGTGATGACAATTGATGAACTACAGCAAAAATTAATGAACTTAAAAAAAAGCAACTTACATCACTATTTTTGCAATTTCAGCAATTATATCTGGAATACCACTTCTTGTAATTGCTGTATTTCCATCAGATCAAAATAAATCTTAGTACATGTAAACGTATTTTAAGAAAATAATTTAGTTGTTAAACATCTTAATTGTGCTAAAGTAAAGTTAATTGGATTGTATTTTGATGGTGCATCACATAATAGAGTTGGTTAGGTAAAACATATTGTGCTAATTCTGAATTTCAAACTGAATTAGGATTAATTAAAGTAAGTTAAATTTTATTTATAGTATTTTATTATTATAAAAAATTGCTAATATTCTCTTTAATATCTGAATAAGGAATTGAAAACAATTCTAGCCAAAAAATTTCCTCTTAATCTTTATTTACTTGAAGACAAGTCACCACTCCTAAGTGGTACTGATTTTTATCATTGTATTAAAAAAGGTTAGTAAGTTGTGAGGTAATTTTTATTTTAAATTGTAAATTTATTTTATATTTTATGTAGGATGTGATATGCATAATTCTGATACATGTATTATACTAATTGGTATTATGTAATATCAACAGAATATCTTTGGTAACTATATACTGTTTATGGTGGAAAATCTGAATTAACTACTAATGTATTAAATCTCAAAAACAAACAATCTGACGAACTTGCTGAACGGTTTTATTCATCATGTGTTTTAAAAGATATTTATTTTTATTGACTATATAAATTTTTATTCAAGTACTTCTTTAATTCTTTGATATTAATTGTATTTTAATCTAGCAATTTTTGAACATACTGAAACATGTAAAGATAATACCTTTTATAGGATGCAATGTATCACTTCTTTTAAGGCATGCTTTTAAAAACATGGAAATCTAAAACTATAGCTCACATTGATCAAGTAGCTTATGCTTAGGCAGGAGTAATTTTTTTGTAATTACATGGAAATATATTAAAGATAATCCAGTTTAACGCAATTCAAGAAAATATGGGATTTTGTGGCAAACTAAAGATGATTTTCTTTATCTTAGTTATACGTTAATTTTATTGATCAATTACTTTCCACTAGCATATAAAGATATTCCTTTATATTCTTGGTTGATCTCTATGGCATTTCTAGAACATATTTTTAGATATACGCGCAGATTAATTGAAGATTTTACATTACCATATTTTTTAATGATGAATGAAAAAATAATTAAACATATTAATATTGAAATAAAGGGTAAGGAATTATATCAGAAATTTCAATTTAATAATATTCTAAAAACAATTTATTATATTAGGATCTATTAAATGTCCTGATAGTAATGATGGTTATAACATACAACTTGGCTCAATTAAAGAATCATTGGATTCCAGATTGGTACTATTTCCAACTGAATTTGAAATTGGGAATATAATGGAAAAGGTAAATAATAATTATTGTTGGAAATGTATAATTTTATTTTTTCAATTTTGAATCTAAATGACTCAATTTTTTAGGTCTCAATAGTAATGAATGGAATTTTGAAATTAATTGGCATAGATTATTTATCTTATAAATATGTTTAGATAATTCGAGATTGTTTTAACAGTATATATTTTGATAGTGAAAACTCAAATAATTCTGAAGAAACAGATTTAATTCATAATAATACTGAATCAGTAGTTGAGAAATTACTTCTTTTGCATCAGAAAAGACTTAAAATGTGTCTAAATCTGCCTAATGAATATGATTTCACTGCTCCTAATACTGAAACAATATGTAGTCTACACAATGATAATGAAATACTCATAATTTTAATAGTCATTATTCATTTTTTGACTTAATTAATCATTGGACACGTTTAAAACCCTTGGATTTTATTAAAGTTATGAAAGAAATAGCACAATATAGAGGTGAGTATATTTGAAAATGGAGTTGAAGAACAAAAATATTCTGAAAAAGACAATTAATTTGGTATTGTTTTCTTTAAATTAAGAAAATTTTGATGAGTATACTCTCAAGGAAATGTGAAAATTCAATCTAATACTGACACAAAAATCTCAAAATTTTGTAATTAATACACCAGATGGATCTCCTAATTTAGAAGCAGCTTTGCGAATTAAAAGAATAAATGCTGCAGAAAAATCCACTTCCTGAACTAAAGGTTAGCTTACTTAATGGATAACTGCATGTCAAAAAATATTCAGAATTATGAAACTTAATCCTGAAAATGTATAATATGCAGCTAACAACTTTTATTTTTATGTTTATAATAGTAAACGTATTTATGTAGCAGAAAATTTTGCTGTTTTTAAAGTAACCAAACTTTTTATTAATTCGTGTTTAGTTAAATAATTTATAAAAACAAACTAACCAAAATATCATTTAGAAACGTGATGCATCATACTTTTGTGCTAAATCTTTGGATAAACTAAATGCTAATCGCATTCATGTTATATTATATAAGCAAGATATCTTGGATCTACACAAATTTCAACACATCTTAAACCCATCAAAAATTCAATTTGCACTTGAAGAATATCCTTTTCACTTTTTTAATCCTTTGGGTAATGTTGAGACTGAAAGTCAAAATAATTCAATTTTTTAAAGCGGTATGTTATAGAGGGTAGCCAAAAGTTTTCGGACACTAAGTTTGACATCATATATCTCAAGATGCACCGATCAGAATTAGTTCAAAATTTCATATAATCATAATACAATCTCAATCTATAATATATTTATATTTCATTTAATTTGAATCAGTAGAAGCTGAGATATGTATGTAAATGTAAATTTATAAATATTTTAATTATATAAAAATTTTTGAATACTAAATTTAACATCATATATCGCAAGATTCACTGATTAGAATTAGTTATAATTTTCATATATATATGACATAATCTTGA